GTACTCTGTTGTTTCTGTGATACTTTGTGATGCTCTGTAGATTCTGTGGTACTCTGTACTTTCTGTGGTACTCTGTCCATTCTGTCGTACTCTGTAGTTTCTGTGATACCTTGTGATGCTCTGTAGATTCTGTGGTACTCTGTGGTACTCTGTACTTCCTGTGGTGCTGTGTACTTTGTGTACCATGTGTGCTTTGAGAGCAGTGAGTGAAGTGAACATGGTTAATGAGCGGCCCAGTGAGCCAAGCCCTACAGAGCTGCGATGACCTCATTCTGTGTCTCTGCTCCATCAGCTCCACTCGTTGACCCCGAGCCGAGCGAGCCACTGAGGGGAGGTGGCTCCCTCTGCTGGACGCGTCTACACGTCTACACTTTATCCAGGAACTGAAGACATGAGGCAGATTTTTCCTCAGATAAACTTCAGCAGCCAACAAATCAGGGACAGAGGAAATAAATATCATTTCTCTTTGATTAAATGCACAATGCCATTTTTTATTTTTTATTTTTTTTGCACAAAGCTTCCAAATAACGTTTAAACTTTTAAACGTGCCTCTGTCACTTTGTCATTTATCACCAACTGCTTTTATTTAACTCACCTTGATTCTTTCAGCACTTACTGACAAAGTGTTGATGGCCCTGGTCTCTGAGCAGAACATCAGGGACAGTCTTGGAGCCGGTCGGTGATTCGAGCCCCGGCTCCTCCAACGATACTGAACCCCAAACTGCCCCTGACGCCTGTTCTGTAAAAGAGCTTTGAGTGTTCGATGAGACTGCAGAAGCTCCAAATAGATAAAATCCATTTACCATCTGCACAATCAGGAGAAGGTGGCGAACAAGTGTCGGCTTTGATTGGTGACAACTCACGGAAGGTAAGTGATGGTGAGATTTGCAGTAAAGAAGCAACAATTTACACAAGTTTGCAGTTCACAACGTCTGCTGTAGATTTTATTAAAACTTTGAGGAGAAACAGGATTCGTTAACAATTACTTTTATTTTAGTTTTTCTCTTCTCTAACCTGACGCTTTAAAAAGTTAAACTGAAGAAACAGTTCACACAGTCGCTGCATGCTGAGATGCAGGAGAGACAATAACAATGGTTTTTAATGAAGACGTTACAGAGCGAAGCACGAGAGCGAAAACAGATGTGTGTGTTGGTGACTGTAAATAAAGATGGACGACAAAACACCTGGATCGCCCCCTAGTGGCCGGTTGCAGTATAGCTCATTAACCATGTCAGCATGAATGTTTGAACGCTCAGACTAAAGAGGGCGGCGCCCGTATCCCAGATGTTTTGGTTTGATTTCTGTACAGTTGGACGAAGAGGAGACGTCCATCTTTATTTACAGTCTGTGAGTGTGTGTGTGTGTGTGTGTGTGTGTCCTCTAAGGTTGTTGTCCGTACCAGTTACAAATATTTACATCTACTGCTGGTAAAAAATTGAATGTACATAAAGTATTTAACTGTTACAACATATTTACTACTTCATTGTGTAAATCATGAGAATGAAACGGGTTCAGGAATGTATCTGCGCTTCACTTTCAGAAAGTCAAACAATTGTTTTAAGCTCCACGGAGCAACAATAAGGAAAAGGCCTCAGTGTAAAGTTTACTGTGAACTTCAGCTGCTGCGCCCCCTGGTGGACACTAAGCCTGTAACACGCTTCATCATGTGAACAGAGACAGGACAACTCAGGAAGAGAGAGACTCACTATACAGCCGAACATAATATCATGCTATAACATTTTCTTCCACCATCGAAATCCCCCATTACATCATGCTCCAGTTCCACACCCCGCCCCCAACCCGCCCACTGCGATGCACGACACCCGTGTGAGTCGAGGGCGAGCGCCCTCTCACGGATGTGACATCACGCCACCCCCCCCCCCGAGCCACATCCCACCGTCATATACAAACATACCAGAACTGCCTGTGAGCAACACGAGTCCATCGACACATACAAACCACGAAGAGACACAACTCAACAAACCGTTCAGCACGAAAACAAAAACAAAGGAAGCAAATGTTCCACAAACCAGCCAGCAGGAGGGCTCGCTGCTGAGGAGGACATTCACTGAGCGAGCGTAACTCAAATATTTACTATTTAAATATTTACATGCAGAGTCGAGATCGTAGTGACACGCCCTCTTCCTCGTCCCCCGGGCTAACGTGGCTGTGGTGGCTCTGCGGAGGATTTCATGCTACATGGTACCGGTACCAGTCTCGGCTCGACGTGCGTTAGCGACGACTGGGAGCTGAGACGCGACACGTTCGGTAACATTTGGTTCCACAAGACGTACACTGTCATCACGTCACTGAGCCCCCTAGTGGTGAATTTCAACACGTGTCAACAAGTTAACAAGTAGCGAGCGTTGGTGTCGGACGCTTTAATTTTTAGTGGCTGACTTATTGTTTACTCAAGTATTTCCTGTTTCAAGTTTCTTCATATTGGTCGAAATAAGAAACTTAGAAACTTGAAGTTTTCAAAACTCAGGCTCTTAATTGTTTAATGTGTTTGATGAAGGACGGGAAGAAAAACCTTTTATAAAACCAGGAATTGTAAAATACGTGAGATGTTGGTCTGAAATCTGAACTATCGCTGCATTTATAACTTCAGAGAGAACAATTATGATTATTCAGATTTAATATTTCTCACAAAGAGAAAATGTTATTGTTTGTTAAACTGGACTAACTACGCTCAAACTTGATGGACAGACGTCCACTAACTTTACACAGGTCGTCCTACAAAACTGTCCAACTGTTTTAGTAAAATACGTCCGACTTTTAAATATTGATGCATATCCAACTTTTCATTTACAAGATCGTTTCACTCACGAGTGTTTATCCACCAAAGCTTCGTTGATCAGTGTTATTTTGGGTGAATCGTGTTATTGGCAGAACTTCACATGTTCAGACTTGGATCTCCTGTGTTGTTCTTTGCTTTGAGTGTTTTGGACGAGAGACGACAAATATTCCTGTGGAACCAAACGCAGCCGGACTGTGAGTTATTAACTCGACTGCCGAGAAGGGAAGAGACAAATAATGAACACAACAATATATCACAACACAATCATCTGTGATACTGAGACAGCTGCGACTTCTTCTCTGACAGTTTGTGAATCTCAGTTGTTAATGTAATAAAAACGAATGTTTTTCTCGTCATGTGGAAAAACTGTCACGTTTCACAGATGATTGTCTTTCAATATATCACAGAATCACCTGTTCGGTGATTCAATCAGAAGAAATGTGTCTCAGTTCCCAACCCGACCGCAGAGAGCTGTAACATGTAGAACACGTGTTCGACACTGACTGTGTCACATCAGAGATTTAATATGAAATAAATTATTATACTTTATTTTAGTCAGTTACTTTAGGAGCCAATCAAAAGACATTTGTTGAGATGTTTTTGACCATAAAACTCTTAAGTCATCAAATTAGATTTAAAAAATAAAGATATAATCTCGTCCAGCTCCCAGTTGTCATCTCATCACAGCCTCTTTCTGAAAAGATTTGGTTCTTACACTACTTTATTTTTTTGGAATATTATCAAGCCCAAACGACAAAGAGTCCGAATCAGTGATCCCATATTTAAAAGGAGGGGAGACGGGGATTTGAACCACCACCAACCTGGGAAGCCCTGAGGATGAGGGAGAGGAGACGGGTGGGGACAAGCATGCAGAGGGGGAGGGGGGGGAGGGAGGGGGGACGTCTTCTTGTTGTTCAATCATTCCTGTCGGAGAGAAGCAGTGTGTCTTTAAGGGCTTGTAATGATTTCCTGTTCCAAAATAAACAGAACACAGATACAGCTGTTATGTTTTCAGTCAGGTCTCAGAGAAGAAGACAAAGAGGTGTGGACATGAGACAAAGACAAAGCTGAAGGCAGGACAGTGTCCACCTGATATGGACAACAGTTCAAGTTACTGAACTTACCTTCAGTGACTCTCTGGGGTCTAAAGGGAATTTCTACATCTTCTTAAATTTGTCCTTAACAGACGCTCACCCTCACATTTGACCTGAGCATCGTGTGAACAGATCATTTGGTTCTAAAGCTGAAAAACTTTAAAGCATTTTATAAATTTCTTCAAATCTAAGTTGAAAATACAATTTTTAATTCATGTGGATTGTTTTGATGCTTTAAACGGGTTTAAACCCTAATTCTTTTATTATTTATTTCACACAGAAGCTTCCACTCGTCAGAGTGTAAAGTTTAAATTGAATGTCTGTAGAACATGTAAAGAAACTCACGAGTTCAGATAAACGTCAGACAAGTTGAAGTTATGAGTCAGTTGTTAAGGTTTCAAACGTTCGAGGTCTCGGTTATTCAGAAACTCCCTCGAGATTTATTATAACTACAAACTCATTTTAAATCCGTTTTCTCTTTGTTTTCCTTATTGTTTAGCTCATGAGTCACATCCAGCACCAGACAGTTCACTGTGCCGATGGAACTCTGTGTTTACCTGTTTGATCATCTCTCCAGTTCTCTCGATGACGATGGTCTTGTCCTCTTTGACCGGTGAAGTCAAATGGTAGTCGTCTCCGAGCAGACCGAGGATGGGGTACTGGTTTCTGTACCTACACACACACACACACACACACACACACACACACACACACACATTTTATAACATATGTATATGTTGTGTTGTGGCTCTGCAAGAAAATTAAAGTGTAAAACTTATTAAATAAAGTCGCTAATTTTAGTTTAAAAAAATTAAGATTGGTTAAACCTCAATGTTTAATGTGATGAAGTATTTTTATTTCCTCGATTCATTGAGATGAATGACTGTAAACGTAAGACAGAGAAATTCAGCTGCAATTAAAACTTTTAATCACCGAAACTAATAAATAATTATTAAAATATCTGGTGATTTTTCATTGGACCAGTAGACTGATGATAACGGATCAGTTCATCTGTACAGACGTGTAATCTGACAGTTGCCGTGGTGACGTACCTCTTGGTGATGGTGGTCTTGGTGACATTCTTGGAGCTGTCGCTTCTTTCCTTCATCAGCTTCTGGATCTCCTGAGGGCCACAACAGGTCAAAGGTCAGCCCAGTCGACAGAACGTCTGAAGTCTGAATACTAAGCATTAAAAGTTCACTGAAAAGTATCATGAATTTATTCTGTTTGATTTAACAATTTGAACTTTTTTCCCGTTCTTTGGAGCCGTGCTTTTCTTTTTTAAAATCACTTTAAATGTAAAGTGGTTCTCTCTCTGCTGCCGTGTGAGAAACTACAGAACACGTGACTCCGGCAGTGACCAGAACATTCCTGACGTTTGAATTAACTGACGACCTGTTTGTAGTCGACGCCGTCAGAATGCTGTCGGACCTGAAAGGTGAAAACTCACAGAAACAAAAAGCTCTGAGCCTGAGAAGAGGTGAACGTGTCTCCACGTACACGGATCAGATTCACTCTCACATAAACACTTCGGTTACTGCAGGACCGAGGCGAATGAATGGAACCCAGTGTTTGTGTAAAATATGCAGTTTGTATTTAAGGAGAAACATTGAGACCTAAGACGCTGAGGGTTCTTAACAGAAAACCTAAATCAGACCTCCTCCTGCCGGGTGATGGTGATCTGCCGCTTCTCCAACATGGAGAGCAGCTCCGAGATCTTCAGCTGGAGGCTCTTGTCCGAGGACGATCTGTCGCTGCTCACCTCCGTCTGGATTCGTGTGATCTGGGTCTGGAGGCAGAACGGAGACGAGACGAGGAACGTTTCAAAAGAACACGTCAATGAAAAATATTCTGTCTTTGTCTGTTTATTGTGTTAGCATGCTAACATTGGCTAGTAAGTACTGAAGGTATTAAAGTTAAACTGAGACTGATGGGAATGAAGTTACTGTTGAAGTGATCAGCAAGAAAACTGGAAATTAAAATTTTGATCCGTCGAAACAAGAGAAGTTTCCAAAATTCCATGGATGGATGAATGGATGGATGGATGGATGGATGGATAAGTAGGTGGGTGGATGGATGGATAGATGGACCGCTGTACAGACGGATGAATGGATAGATGGACAGCTGTACAGACGGATGAATGAATGAATGGATGGATTCTCACCCTGAGCTTCTGTATCTCCTGGTCCTTCTCTTGTCTCATGGCGCTCAGCTGATCTTTGTACTGACGTGACAGCTCCTCCATCTTGATGTGCAGGGTGGTGCTGCTGCCCTGACCCGCCAGCTGAGGGACGGAAAGGAAACAAGACGGAACATTGTCAAATGTTACTTTGGCTGAAACCGACTGTTTTCTCTTCTGCACACTCTCGCCCACGTGAGGTTTTTTTTTTTTTTTTTGTAACCTTCTGTCGGAGCATCTCGTTCTCCTTCTCCAGCGCCCTCATCCTTCCCTCCAGCTCCTTCAACTTGAACTCGCGGCTCGAGTCGGTGCTTCTGCTGCTCATCAGCTGACTCTCCAGGGAACGCTGGGAGGCGCTGGTTTCCTTCAGGGACAGCTGGAGACGGAGCACAGGCAGGAAGTCAGAGCGCTCACTTCAAACAAAGTCGAGATGATCTTCATGAACAGTTTACAACCCGTGTGAGCTCCATTCTAAAATAAGTAAATCATGATCTTTAACAACAATCTCTCTACTTTGACCCAAATACTTTGAAGCACCGTCTTCTTCTTTATGTCCTCTCGTTAATGCACGTCATAAATAATGTAGCCACACCCACATTCCACACACACACACACACACACTGTGTTTGTGCCGTACCTGCAGCTGCCTGTTGTTCTCTCGGACGGTCTCCAGGAGGCAGTCGTACTGGACAGCCTGGTCTGCTTTGAAGCTCAGGTCTCGCTCCAGCGTCTCCTTCTCGCTCTCCAGACGCTGCAGGCGACACACAGGCAGATGTTTGCGTGGATGAGCGGATCGACCACGTGTTTCATATTGATTGTGTTGATCGTCATGTCTGATGCTGGATAAGTTTGGATCTGGTGACGTGGAGGCGGTTCTGGTGTTCGTGTGTTTGTTTCTTCACCGATTGAAATCAGTCTTTTAATTTGATCTTATCTGATCGGCAGATTGTTTCTCTTCAGGAATGTAACTGAAGGAACTGCTCAGTCGAAGCTCCACCACATGGAGTTATTACGTCTGGCCTGAGGCCAGCTCATCTCTGCTGTAACTGAAAACATTTTATTGACTCACACGACAGTGAAAAGCTCGTAATGTGATGTACAGGCTGCAGGGACTCGCCCAACAGCTGCAAACATCTGGATCTGTACGCACACGTTTTTATTAATGTAACTTCACAACCTCAGGCATTCCTTCGTTCCCTCACACTGGGGACCTTGTTTTTTATCTGGTTCAATAAACACGGATCAAATATATCGATTCAGAATAAGAACACAAATATCTCAGGATGAAGAAGAGGAGCCGTACACGTCGAAGACGAAGACTTCGTTTTAACTTTTCCCTGAGCGAAGATCTGAATCTTCAAACCATTCTGTCGACACGTTCGGGACGATCTGATTGGATGCTGCTGGCGTGTCTGTTTATTTTCTGCTGGCGTCAAATCGGAGACATCGAACGCTCGTGTGTGTAATGATTCAAACATTTCAACTATGAACCGGATGTTAACGTGTTTAAATCTGACTCGTCTCCACGCGAGGTCAGTTTTTCTTTTCTTGTTTCAGGCGGCGGCAGATCTTACCCGCAGGTCCTCAGACATGTGGAGCAGCTCCTCCCTCAGACTGCTGAAGGTGGAGAGCAGCAGACGCATGCTCTTATCTGCAGTGAGACGGGTCTGACACACACACACACACACACACACACACACACACACACACACACACACACACACACAGTGATTTCAGATATATTTGTAAAAAGAGCTAAATGATAATTTCAGTTACACTGTGAAGGTTTTGATCACGTCTGGAAGGATATACAGTATTATATGTGTATATACAGTATTATATGTGTATATACAGTATATATAATATGTGTATATAATAAATATATATATATATATTATTTGCACATAGAAGTTGTAATCACTAACAAATAGATTTGAAAAACACATTGATAAAGAAAAAAGAAAACGTGTTTTAAATGTATTAATAGTTTAACGACAGTATTAGTTTGTGTTGTCGACTGTGATTCTGTCAGTGGAGGATGTGAAGGAAAAACACTTTAGTTTTAGATGTTGTCGCCTCCACTTAACGGTTAAAGTTCAGATCAGCAGCATGTGTGTGAATACAGAATCTCTGTGTCCGAGACTGAAATGAAGTGAGACTTCACTGTTATCTGTCTCTCACCTGCAGCAGGTAACGGATCTGTTGTTTGGTCAGTTCAGTGGCTCCTTTGGGAAGCAAGGCCTCCACCTCCTCTTTCTCCACCTGAACACACACACACACACACACACACACACACACACACACACACACACAGTTGAGTTCCCTCTCTCACCTCTGACTGTATCTACATCTTATCTATTATCATCAGACGAGTGTTTGTCTCTCACCCTGTAGTCATTGCTGGGATCCAGCTGATGTTTCCTGCAACACACACACACACAGGAAACACAGATAATGAGGACGTGGACATGACTGTGTGTGTGTGTGTGTGTGTGTGTGTGTGTGTGTGCTGAGTGATTTAGAGCCTCATGTCTTTAGTCACTGACAGAGAGGTGAGAGGTTGGGGGAGGATAACAGTTTTATGGGGAGGGTAAACTCTCAGTCACACACACACACGTTAAAAAGACACCACATCAATCAGCTGGGTGAACAAAACAGAAGCAGGTGATTGGCTGCCTCACACCACCTGACCTACACATGTATAAATATATATAAATATACGTGTATTTAATGTCACACTCACTGTCCACGGATCTTGGACACGTGCTCTGAGATGCAGGAGTGGATGTCGCAGTTCTTCCTGTAGACGTCGGCCAGCAGCTCGCCAAAGTAGCGCGTGTCCATCTTCGTCGGCGGGGGCGTCTCCCTCAGCTCGCTCTTCACCTCCGTCCTGGAGATCTTCTCTATCGCCAGGGACGGCTTCTGCTGTATGATGTTGATGACCTCCACCTCCTCCACCTCCACCTCCTCCTCCTCTTCCTCATCTTCCACCTCTACCACCTCCTCGTCCTCGTCCTCCTGGAGGAAAAAAGGCAGAAAACTCATTTGTTAGATGAATTGTCTCTTTCTGTTTGTGTTTCTTTATATATCGGATTTCACTCAAGGACAGCTATTGCTAACGGCAAAACTGAAGCCTGATCATTGTGACCAGCCCCTGGTGGCTGGCTGCAGTATAGCTCATAAGGCCCAGACAAGGACAAGTCAAAGCTTGCAGCTTGCAGCATCCATATCCCGGATGTTTTATCTTTATTTTTGGACGACGAGAAGGAAGCTGAAACATGTTTGTCCATCTTTACATGTTCATATGTTTCGACAATGGCACAGGAATTCTAAGAACACGTGAACACCCAAGGATTCCTCTCCAGCTGTTACACGCAGCGGTTTGGAACATGGCTGCAGGGATTTTCCTTTAATTCAGTCTAAGGAGTGTAATTGAGTTCAACAGATCTTGAGCTTATATCTGGAGTCGTGATTCTGGGAAATCCTGTTCTTTGTGGATCTGGATCCATCACGATGAAACAGTTTTCCTCACACTACAAATCCTCCAACATGGAAGCAAACAGAGGAACCTGGACTGAACCAAACAGAAGCTGAGGTCCCAGGATTCCCACCTGCCGCCATGCACAGTTCACACACTTCACCTGCACAAGAGCCAAACACACCCATCAGCTCCTCTTATCTACGTGTAGCAACAGAGTCGAGTCAAACATTTGCTGAAAAAACACTCAAACAGTTGCATAACCTGTTATCTCCGGTAACGCTGAGCTGAGCTGCTGTGTGTACTCTTCACACAGGGAACACCTTCACTCTCTGCAAACACCCGTCTGTCAAACTCTGACACATGACAGGTCAACACGATGTAGATTATCATTTAAAACTCTTGTTGCGCTTGTTAAAAACCTCTTTATAAATCATTCCTCTCATCTTCTCAATCCACCTGTAGCAACAAGACAACCTCACTTCTGCTCTCTCGGGTTTGATGTGTTGTTGAAGGAAATCCACCGTCCAGCGCGGGATTAGGTTTTATGGAGAGTAACGTGAAGTGTGTCAGCAGTTTTCTGGGATCTCTGTGTTTGGTCTGAAAGCATCTTAAACGAATGTACCCCTGGGTGCAGCAGTTCCAGTTTATTGTGTGAAACTGCACCGACGAGGCGCTCAGCCTGAGCAGGACTCTGCCCGTCCCTCTGCATAATGTCGTATATCTGAAGAGCTGCTGGACGAGTTTGGTGCATGATGACTTACTGCTGGTTGTTCTGAGGAGGGTCATTAATGTTTCTCACAGAATGTTACCATCTGCAAGATACTGCTGCACAAACTGAACCCGTCAAGAGAAAACTAAAGCTGCAGATACAGTGAGCTGCTCTGAGTTTGTGTTATGTGACCGACCCGCATGTCGTCTCAAAGGTTTAGTCGAAACCCGTCCACATTCTACAACACGAATATTTGAAAGTTTGACTGTTGTGATGCAAACATCTTGAAGCTTAACATCAGTTAAATGAGCTCGAGGCTCATTTCACCTTCTTCTAGCTTTAGGCACAATCTAGGATATTCAGCTCGTTCTCCGTAAACATCAGCGAAGAGAGAGAGAGAGAGATTACAGGTCAACCGGACACGTGAGATGTATCAGGCTCGTTTCTTTAATTTGGTTCTGATCTTGGCTTCAGCTCTACCACAGACACGGAGGGGAAACATTTCATCTGAATTCATGTCTCGTTAAAAAATGGGTGTGCACATTCCACAGGAGCCAGAATTACACATCCAGAGGAGTTATCACTGTTGTGCTAGTGGAGAGTCTCTGACAGACGCCTGCAACATTTCAATACACTCGATGATTCTCAGACTCTTACATCTTAGTTTTAAAGGCCTGACCATGTGCCACAAAAACGTATTATTTCACAGCATCATTTCAGAGCCCGAACGCTTCCTCCTGTGGCTCACATAGTCTGTGAATGCCATGGCCCTCAATGCTTCCTGTAACCAGCACTCATGCAGCTTAACCAGAGGAAGAAAGACTAATCAGTTATGTCATCGCTGCCAGGAAACACTGGCACAGGAGCTGCATTGTCTAACAGAGAGAAAGAAATGCAGAAGAATAAAAAAGGAAGCGATGACGCTAAAAGGCCTGAAAGTTCACGGATTAGATTCTAACAAGTTCAGGTGTTAAACTGGAGAATAAACCTCCTCAGTGGCTGAAGACAGAAACTGGAAAGAGGCTGTTTGGAATTTGATTCCTGCTGGGAACCTGTTTTTTGACTTTGTACCCAGGAGGTAACGTGTCAATTCAAATCCGGTGTTTTACATGTGTGGGAGAAACTCAGTCTGCGGGACCTTGAGCTCCAACCCGTGAATAGAAGTGCACATTTTGTACGTTAATAAAATGTGGAATTATATTTACTGGAATCAAAGAAAACCAGATGTTTGAATAACACCTGTGACTAAAATGACGCGACGATAGTGTGACGTTCTAAATTCAAAGAGTCTTAATCTGGAACTTTTAGGACACGGAAGAGACGGAGCAACACGAGGGATAAGAAGCGTACTTGTGCGATTACATGGAAGTGGGTGTGTCTCAGTGCCACAGGGCTGTGGCTGCTACGGCAACATGCCTGTCATTCCTGCAGAGAAGACGAGAGCAGGGACGACAGACAGACGGGAATCAGCCCAGAAAGTGAAGGTCAATGACGTCTGGCATCATGTTTGCTACGTTGACAGTGAAGTGTTGTAATAAGGAGCCGCAGTGATTTTTACAGCAAGAGTTAGGAAAATTAACCAAATACGAAATAATGTTTCTGAGATTTTTTGTCCGGATAATAACAATGGTTCATTTTAAAGTTCCTCTCCAGTAGATTATCACACTCGACTAAAACTCATCCTGAAAACGTTTGTCATGAAAAAAACCTTAAACTGATTCAATGATGATCAATTCTGGACCATGATATATAATATATATATATATAATATGCTGAAATCTACAATATCTCCTCACCCTGACTGAACGAGCCCCTCCAACAACACGGGATTGGTTTGTTTGGTTTGTGACATCACAAACCCTCTTTACTTTTTACTGCAGAGTTAAAGTGGGAATACTCAAAATATGCCATATTTAAAATAAAAAGGCACAAGGAGGGACACAATGGACTTTAACTTTCATTTTGGACACACCTTGTCCACACTGTGAGGACAAGGTGGGCTCTGAACTTTTTGGAAAACAGCTGCTGTCTGTTTGTCTTCACTGGAGACTCCAACCTGCAGATCTCACACCATCAGCCTTAAAACCAAACCGCCCACATGTTAAACCCCTCGTCGGTCATTGTCATGGACAGATTCAGGGCGAGAAGAGGAAACAGGTTCATTTCTGCACCAACGTCTCCGTGTAGCCAGAGCAGCTCTCAGTCAGAGGTCCAGTTACCAGCTCGTCTCTTTTCTGTCTGAAAAGGTTTCATGTTTTTGAGACGTCCTCGTCCTGGTGAGAGATTTGCTGACTCGTTGCTTTCAGGACACGGACTCTGTTCTTGCGTGAGACTGAACCTCTGTGGTTTTCCAGGCTGCTGCGTGTCCTCGGGGCAGTGACAGAGTTTAATCTGCAGCTAACCTGAGAGATTCCAGGGACCGACTGCAGCACTGAGCTCGTACTGATGTGAAGAATGTGTGGGAGGATGACAACGACCTCATGATGAGAGGGGAGTGTGTGTGTGTGTGTGTGTGTGTGTGTGTGTGTGTGTGAGAGAGAGAGATGTAGGTCAGCGAGCCAGGCTCAGGACTCAGGTAACACTAGTGGGTTGCTATTGGAGAGAGAAGAGTCATTTTACCTCACACAGGCTCTTTGTGTGTGTTCCTGTGTGTGATTCTCTCTGACGCCGCAGTGACAATATTTCAGTCCGTCACTTTGACCACGAATAACAAACACAGACACACTCGGCTACACTACGCCAACACAAAACCAGAAATCTCTCCCGCTTTTATTTAACTGCAACCGCAGATTCAGGAGGTCAGACCCGAATATATTTATATAAATATATGTATATATATATCTACATATATTTATATAAATATATCTATATAAAAGCTCAGATAATGAGGGGCTCTATAACACCTGACAAACTAACATCAGCAGGATCCCAACTTTTATTCTTTTTAATGATGCCTGACCTGAACTCTCTTCTGCACAGAAACAGCTGGAGAGACTGAAGACGTTTCCTCACAGTGAACATAAACAACACGCCGTCCCATCTCGTGTTGTCACCACAACGTGACGCCCCCTCCGTCAGCGTCCTGTCATTAACTGTGAATACTCCACATACCCTGCAGTGGTGAGAAAAGCCTGGTATATGAAGCAGCTGATCCCAGACAAAAAGAGAAATACTTTCAAAAGGAGCAAGGCTGAAACTCAAATATCTAATTACAGTTTCTAACAGTCATGTGATCCTTGAATCGGCCTCTGAGGTTCAGACGCTGCAAAGTATTTTTGGAGAAGAGAGATTTGATCTTCACAGTAGCAAACATGTCCGTCAACAATCCTGCGTAATCGCACACGAACCTCAACCCACTCGACAATCTAACGCCAATCTCTCAGCTCCCTCTTTGTTTTGACTGTGACCTGCACTGAACTGAGGTGTTGACTGTGAGACATCTAACGGTTTATTCCTCGAGCTGTAGATGTTTAAAGATGACGAGTCACAGATCAACACGAACTTCACCGAACCTCAGCTGAACCAACGCTGCTGAACCTGGTGCCGATCGTGAGCAGACAGAAGCCAAATCATTGAGATGAAAGTAAAACTGGTGAGAGAAGAGTGTTGACCAGCAGCGACGTTATGGTTTCACCTCTGTCCGTTTGTTAATCACGATTGATTACATCATTCATTGACGGTGACATAATCTTTAGTTTTAGCCATATCCCAGTGTCCACATACTTTTGGCCACAGTGTCTACATAATTAACAGAGCAGCAGTTGAACTATTTTGGTTGTTTTACATTAAATCCAGATTTCACTGTTTGAAATTCCTATTTTCCTCTGCAGATGAGGAACATGCTGACACATCCAGATGTGGCCTGTACAGACGTGCAGACATCAGGAAACAGCTGGAGGCGGATCTGTGAGGAACGCACCGGTTGGTTGAATGTTCTCGATTGGTTCGGCTCGACGACTGGAACCATTCAGGTGTAAAACAGATCTGTTGTTGTTTTACTTTATTTGGTGGAACCCTCCTCTGTTGTACACGACGCTGTGTAGATTTCATCTTTAAAGTTTTCTCAACTTTCAAATGTTTGTACGTTTGTTGTGAACGTCTTCTACAGGTTCATTGAAAACTGAGCCTCCTGAAACTTCAACTTTTACCCACGACGGCCGAGGATTTACTTGACCTGTGGGACGGTCTGTTTCCAAAAATATTAAATTCATCATCCTGAGCAACAGCAGCACTGACCCGTCAGAGAAGCTTCTGTCAGAAATAAGTAAACGATGAATTAAAAATAAAAAAGGAGACACACGTCTTTTTCTTTCATTTAGAAAACACAGAGGTGTGGTCGACGAGTCAACAACCAGCTTTTAAATCTGATTTGTCCTCAGAAAAGATTTTCGGGGTCTTTTCGAGGAAGCCTGTGTGGAAGATTATCTGTCTGACAGCCCTAACGATTTTTTTTTAAGTTGTACCTGACACAAGACCGAGCACATGCCGAGCGAGTTGGAGCAGAAGAGGATTAGAGGCAGCGGACGACATCCAAGGAGAAGATTACAGGACAAGACCCCACATTGTTGGAGGAGGAAGAAGATCAACACAAAGACGATAAACGATCTAAAACACAAAACCACAGCCTGCTCGTCTTCTCCCTCCCGTCTGCTGCAGGTTTATTATGGACGTTTGTACCGAGAGCGTCGTTGAAACAAGTTTTCACTGTTTTTAAAATGACCTCACTGAAGAAACTACAATTACCCCCCCCCCCGCCCCGCCCCCTGCAGGTGCACTTTTTTTTGTACTCATTTGAAATCATCGTGACCTTTGACCTCTGAAATCACATCATCTTTGAGACCAAGTGACAACTGTGGACAATTTCAAGAAATGTCCCCAAAGGCCGACTTGAGATATCGTGTCCACGAGGAAAAAAAGGGTTTTGTGTACCACCATGACCTTGACCCTTGACCCTTGACCTTTGACCAACCAATTCACATCAACTCACATCAACCAAATGTGAAGAAATTCTCTCAAAGCGTTTTTGAAACGTCAGGGTTCCTCCTGAGCGTCTTCTATTGGAGGTTTACTGGATACGCCCCCAACCGGGAGGAGACTGTGGGGTAGACCCAGAACTCGCTGGAGGGACTACGACTCCCATGTGGCAGGAAGAGGGGCGTCTGGGATACTCTACCTCTCAGACCTGAGCCCGAACAAGTGGAAGACAAAGGATGGACGGAGAGACTTTCTTATTTATCTTTTTTACTATCTTATGGACCAAAAACTAAATTTAAAACTGAAATAATAAAATTAACAATGAAAATAATTGCAATTTGTGACTAAAGTTACTTCCACACTTTTTCCTCTCACCAGACGTTAACTGTCTCTTCGGGTGATGGACTTGAACATCAGACCGTCACCACAACGGCTCTGATTTCCTGAGAATGCGATAAAGTTCGTGCCAAAACAAACGGCATCAAAGCCACCATGAATCAGAGAACCACCCTGTTTTGACAACAGCCAAATACATGACGCTGCAGGTTCCAATCAAAAGGAATGCACACGCCCACAGTGAAGGCCTGTGGGAAGTGGCCCAGACACACCCCGGGTTTTACACACGCCCTGAACGGCTCATCAGCACCGTGACAGTTGAACTATGAACAAAGTGCTGTTGTAACACAATGTGGAGGCAGGGTGTAGCTCTGTGTGTGTGTGTGTGTGTGTGTGTGTG